CCCCGTGCATGAATTTTCATATACCATGCCTCTAGTAAAATATAAAGAATGAGAAAGGTTTTTTTTTTTTTTAAAGAATAACTTATTGACTTTTAGAGAGAGGGGAAAAGAGAGAGAGAGACAGAGACATCCATGCTCTTTCTACTGCCTTCTGCACACTCCCATCGGAGACCCTGCCTGCAACCTGAGCATGTGCCCTTGATCAAGAATTGAACCAGCAACCTCCTGGTGCAAGGGATGGTGCCCAACAATTGAGCCACACCGGCCACGGCAAGAAAGATATTTTTAATACATGGGTTAGTTTGCTGCCAACCTTTGGAATATACATTGATTTTTAAAATTGCTACCACCACCCTGGCTGGGTAGCTCAGTTGGTAGGAGCATCATCCTGATATGCCAAGGTTTCGGGTTTGATCCCTGCTCAGGGCACATACAAGAATTAAACCAGTGAATGCATAAATAAGTGGAACAACATATCAGTGTTTCTCTCTCTTTTTCCTTCTCTCTCCTCTTCTCCCTCCCCCATTCCTCTCTCTCTCAAATCAATAAATAAAAATAATTTTTTGAAAGAGTAGAGAAATAGTCGAAACCGGTTTGGCTCAGTGGATAGAGCGTCGGCCTGCAGACTGAAAGGTCCCGGGTTCGATTCCGGTCAAGGGCATGTACCTGGGTTCCGGGCACTTCCCCAGTGGGGGATGTGCAGGAGGCAGCTGATCGATGTTTCTAACTCTCTATCTCTCTCCCTTCCTCTCTGTAAAAAATCAATAAAATATATTTTTTAAAAAATGCAAATTATTAAAAAAAAAAAAAGAGTAGAGAAATATATTGAAGAGTGACCTCTTAAACAAGAATCAAGAATCAGAATTTTTTTGCCAAAACCGGTTTGGCTCAGTGGATAGAGCGTCGGCCTGCGGACTGAAGGGTCCCAGGTTCGATTCCGGTCAAGGGCACATGCTCGGGGTGTGGGCTCGATCCTTAGTAGGGGGCGTGCAGGAGGCAGCCGATGAATGATTCTCATCATTGATGTTTCTATCTCTCTCTCCCTCTCCCTTCCTCTCTGAAATCAATAAAAATAAGTAAATAAATAAATAAAGTTTGTTGAATGAATTTGATAAAAGTCAGACATACAATGGTTACGTACTAAGCCTTGATTAACTTTTTAAGAGTGAGATATGTCCCCAATACTCATAGTTAAGGATGCAGGGATGCTGGTGATGAATAGCACAGTTGAGCACAGTGAAGAATTTACTGCCTTAAGAGTGATCAGCTTCTGTTCTGACACAGGGCATGGTTTTTTTCATATAGATCATCAATTATTCTTTGGAGCTAGTTTCCCATGATTCTAAGTCTCACATATCTTTTCTTTTCCCAAACGTAACTAGTCATGTGATGCTTCTTGTTTTATTCACAGAGGACTGGTTTTTAAGTTTGGCCGCACTGAAGACTTATGGCAGTGAAACATCTGATTTATTGCTCCTGTCCAGCAGCCCTGCATGGGTTTGCTCGGTTGTGTTTGTTTTTTATTTTTAATACTAACTCCCAATCTTTTGTAATGGCATTTTCTAAACTTATTTCTGAGTGTAGTCTCAGCTTACATTTGTGTGATACTAAAATCATGAGAAATCGCTATTTAAACAATAACAACAAAAATCTATTGTGGTATGCATTTGATTAACTTATCAAATGTTAAGGAAAAGTATTCCACGTGAGTAAGTTTTGTTAAGTTTCATCATGGTATAATTGTAAAAATAAAAATAAATCAGAAAAGAAATTGTGGATACATCTTATCTGAGTATTTGTCATAGCCAAGATCCAAAATGCAATTGAAGTGCTCTTAAAATACGATGTGTTGCCGAAACCGGTTTGGCTCAGTGGATAGAGCGTCGGCCTGCGGACTGAAAGGTCCCGGGTTCGATTCCGGTCAAGGGCATGTACCTGGATTGTGGACATATCCCCAGAAGGGGATGTGCAGGAGGCGGCTGATCGATGTTTCTCTCATCGATGTTTCTAACTTTCTATCTCTCTCTCCCTTCCTCTCTGTAAAAATCAATAAAATATATTTTAAAAAAAGAAATTAAAAAAAAAATACGATGTGTTTATTTAAATGTGGGCTCTTCTGTGTCAAATATTAAGTGAAATATAAACATTTTCTTGTTTTTAAAAACTATTCGGTGGTCAGAATTCTTTCTCACTATACTTTGTGTTGGGTTTATTCAGTTTTGCCAAATTTTGAAAATGTTTCAGTGTAAGTAAGTAGCTATTAAAAGTCTCCCAAGGGATGAGTGAGCATGTCGGGAGCAGCTCCTGATCCAGCCACCAGGCTCCTCAAAAGTGTCCCTTCTGGCCCTGGCTGGTTTGGCTCAGTCCTTCGGCCTATGAACTGAAGGGTCCTGGGTTCAATTCTGGTCAAGGGCACATGCCTGGGTTTGGGCTTGACCCCCAATAGGGGGCATGCAGGAGGCAGCCGATCAGTGATTCTCTCTCATCATGGATGTTTCTATCTCTCTCTCCCTCTCCCTTCCTCTCTGAAATCAATAAAAAATATATATTAAAAAAAAGTGTCCCTTCTGAGCCGCTGATCCGTGATCAGTTGTGCCACATGGTTCTGGTGGGACACACAGTCACTCCACAGCTACCATTGAAGGAAAGAAGAAAAGGATAGGGGTTTGACACTAAGGTAACAAACTTTGTTGGTGGTGGTTTGATGATAAATTGGATTCCATGTTTCATTGTATCTCTGTCATGAAACACTGTGCTCAAAACAGACCCGCCCGGTCAGTGACAATTACAGCCCTTAACCACCGCAGTGCTCGTAGTGTCTTCCTCTTCGGAACCTGCTGTCCCTCCCCTCTCGCCCCACCTCCCTCCCAGGCTCTCCACTTTAGCCAAGTGGGATTTTTTTTAAGGAGCTAGCTAACTACGGGTACATGTTCTTCAGAACTACAGTTTGAAATGTTTTATTTTATAAAATTTGCTACAATTAGCCTTCATTAAACACGAAATATCTCTCAGGTGATTTTAACCTGTGGTACTCCTTTTCTTGTCAGCCACAGTTACCCCCTGTATGTATGTTTTGAATATGGCCTGGGGGTCACTGCTCAAAGAAGTAACTATTGCTGTCATCCCACAGCACATCAGCCATGGTGAGTTTCAGATCCATAGGCTGTGAGAATTGGAGGGGATCTTAGAGGTTGAAGTCCACCTTCTCTTTTCACAGATGAGGGAACTCAGACCATGCAAATTTAAATGATTTCCTCAAGGTCATGGAACTAGTGGTTTTTTTTGTTGTTTTTTTAAAATATATTTTATTGATTTTTTTTTTTTTTTTTTTTTTTTTTACAGAGAGGAAGGGAGAGGGACAGAGAGCCAGAAACATCGATGAGATAGAAACATCGATCGGCTGCCTCCTGCACACCCCCTACTGGGGATGTGCCCGCAACCACGGTACATGTCCTTGACCGGAATCGAACCTGGGACCCTTCAGTCCGTAGGCCGACGCTCTATCCACTGAGCCAAACCGGTCAGGGCCATGGAACTAGTGTTTTAATGTTGAGGCAGTGCACCTCGACCATGATGTCTTTCCCCACAGTTAATTCAGAATGTGTTCGGGGAATAAGAACTACTGTACCTTGAAAACTGGTGGAATAAAATCAAGGTCTGCAAGGATTAAATTTAAGTGAGCTCATTTCCCCCTATTTTTTATCATCTGCTCTGCTGGTGTAGACAAGAATTAATTGGGTAGCATACTTTATTAAGCATGAAAAAGAATCTACAAATTGTCAAGAAATTTAACCCAAACCTTAATGAGGTGCCTGCATCCAAGAAAACGTTGGTAGCATCATTTTTAACGAAACAAGTCTTTAGTCTTTTATTTTTAATATCAAATCTATTTCTGACCTTGTTTCATTGTACATAAGGAGACTGCAGTAACGAGTTTGTCACATAGAAAAAATGTGGGCAACAGTGAAAGGAAGCTCTCTTGTTTAGGAACAGGCCTTGTTTTTCTTGGATGCCTTTGCTTAAAATCCAACAGCCAAATGAGGAAACTGTAAAAGCAAAGCAAACATTTTTGTTACAGATGAATCCTTCCACTCTTAAAATTTGTGCACATATTGATTCTGCCTTGATCTTTTGAAATTTATATTGACCAAAATGTCTCATCACAGAGGTTTTTGCATAAAATCTGAATTGGAAGAGCTCCTAGACTAGCGGTTTTCAACCTGTGGGTCGCGACCCCTTTGGGGGTCGAATGACCCTTTCACAGGGATCGCCTAAATACATCCTGCATATCAGATATTTACATGACGATTCATAACAGTAGCAACATTACAGTTATAAAGTAGCAACGAAAGTAATTTTATGGTTGGGAGTCACAACAACATGAGGAACTGTATTAAAGGGTTGCGGCATTAGGAAGGTTGAGAACCACTGTCCTAGACAGATCTCATTTCGTATAGCTCCTTACATGGGTCATTGCCAAATAGTCCTCTGGTTTTTTTTTGAACCCTCCAGTAGCAATGGACTCAGTACCATGTAAAGGAGCTAATTCCATTTTGCAGACAGTTCAAATAGCTAACAATTTACGCTGCATTACTTACTGGGCCCGGGTACACTTTTTGGAGAAGCATAGAAAAGGATATTTTTTCTCTCCTACACAACAGCTTCTTAGTATTTGAAGATAGTTCTTAGGTCTCCTTCTGCAAGCTGACTACATCCTGAATTCTCTAGTTGTGCCTTAACAATATCACTACTCATTGAGACGCTTGGATCACAGAATTCTAGAGTTGGAACTCAGAGTAGCTAACAGGTATATTCTATGGATCAGGGTACTAACATTCACACACATTATCTCCCTCGAATCCTTACAACAACCTAGTGAGACATTATTATTATTATCTCCATTTCAGAGATGGGAGGCTGATTCTCTGAGAGGTCACAGAGTTAGAGGTGGCAGAACCCAGATCTGTCTGAATGCAGAATGTGGAATTTGATCTCATTCTACCAATGAGGAAACAGCCCCAGAGAAGTAAAGCGATTTGCCTGAAGGCACCAACTTGCCTGGGGTGAGCTAGGACTAGAATTCAGATCTGCTTCTGCTAAAAGGGTAAGAACACTTGCAGGGCATGGGAAGAGACTGGCTGTTGGGAAAAGCCAAGAGCCAAAGACCGGAGAGAAGCAGATGCAGGATGAGGCAGGTTACACACAACAATGTGGATGGCTCTCGGAATAATGCCAACTAAAAGAAGCCAGGTGAAGAAGAGCATGTATCCTACGGTTGGTTCCATGTATGTAAGTTTATTATAGAAAATGCAAATTAGTCTGTAGTGACAGAAAGCAGGTCAATGGATGCCTGGAGATGGGTGGGGTGGGGTAGGAAGGGCGTCGTTCCAAGGAGGCAGGAGGAAATGTTTGGTGGTGATGGGTATGTTCGTTATCTTGATTGCAGTGATGGTTTTCACAGGCGTAGAGTACATTTAAAAGTATCAAACTGTAGGCTTTAAATGTGTGTGGTTCATTGCCAGTTACAAAGCTGTTAGAAGAGGAGGGAGGAGGAGAGAAGAGGCAGGTCCTCTGTTTTGCCCCTACAGAGACAGGTGTCAAGGCCCATACTAACGCTGGGCTCTCTGACCCTTTAGTGATCAGTGGATCGGCAAGCGGGTGAAGAAAGGATTGGCCTGGGACTCAGAGCTTGGTTCCTGGTCTTGTGGACCAGGAGACAGACAAATGGAAGCACTAGGGTGACCTCCGTCAGCCCCCACTTCCCATTTGTAACAGGCAATATTGATCCCTGCTTCCCCGACCTCAGCTTCGATTGGAAGATTACCCACGGCAACTTACATCAGAGTGCTTTGTGAACTACGAGTGTAGGTCAAAGGGAGGAGGGCAGGGGGTGACAGTGTCTAGCCCAGTTATAACAACTGCTACAATGTAATGCAGGTGACTAGTTGGAGCTTTGTGTCCCTTGGCTAAATGACCCCAGGTTCTAAAGGTTTGCTTGTGTCCACCAGCTATAATTTATCTAGAGTTGTTTTAGAGTCAGCTCTGCCACTCAATCACTGTAAGAACTTGGTCAGTCCTGGCTCCACTCTGCGCATCTGTCAAATGAGGGTATTGGACTTGCTGGCCCCTGCGGTCCTCCTGGCTCTTGCATTCGGGATTCTATCACCTTCACATCACACTATCTGCCCGTGTTGACAACTCCAGGTGGAAAGAAGTGTGGCCAGAGACGGTTCTCTTATCCCTGGTCCTCACTGACTCTGAGGCATCAGGGAAATGGTAACCTTCACCACATCGTGGATTTGCTCCTCCTTCCTTACTCTTCATTTTCACTTGTTCTTATTTTACTCTCATAAACACCAAGGTAACATATGCCCCAATACCTTTTTAAGTTCATTCACTCAACATCTGTGACATTAAGAGGTTAAAAAAAAACTTACCTCCCAGAAAGCTTGGTCATCAAAATATTTAGCCACATGAGGTGCTTTCCATATTTTGAGATTTAAGATGAGACCTGTTTAAATTCATTAAAAAATGTAGAACATTTAGAGCACAGCATTTGTTATCTCAAAATATCATATGTCAACTACAGTATCTCAACAGAAATCCTTTTGTTCCCTCCCACAACCAGGAGACAGACAAATGGAAGCACTGTTCTTCCTGGGTCCGCTTAATCGATCCTATAGATCTTTTAACAGGAACTGGCTAGAGCAATTATTTCTAAAAGATTTCGATTACTCTTAGAGGTGTAGGAAAACCATGGATCTGACATGCTTCCCGAGA